TCTCTCTCTCTCTCTCTCTCTCTCTCTCTCTCTCTCCCCGCGGGTCTTCCTGCGGTGCTTGGCCTTTACTTGTCCATGCCCTCTTTGTCATCTGTACTCGCTAACATGCGCTTTCCACTTATAAACCGCACTTTTTTACCACGGAGAGGTTCGAAGTATCAACATTTGTCAGAAGGGTCGCCAGGTTGCTAATTGAACTACCGGGGCTGTCGTTTATCAAAGCCGTCTGTAGTCTGCTTGCTGTGTCGTCGACACACACGACTCTTTTGCCATCCGTCTGCCATCCGGCTCTCCTGGGACAAGTACCGAAACGCGCAACAGGTCCACCGCTCACCTGGTATCGGGATCTTGTGTCACGGCACGAGATTGTGTGTGCTCCTCGAGTTTGGCTGGCCCATGCCCACGTTCGGTTATGCGCTTCAAACGGCTGGCATTTGCCTGAGACAACCGGCGTTAAACGAAACACTTGCTAGCTGTCCTGTTGCGGCAAAATACATGAGCTGTCCAACCATTGCTATTGGCAGTAGTTGAAGCGCATGGGCGTAAAATGCGGTGATTCTTCCAGGGATGCATCACAGCGAGTAACCCTCTTTCCTCTCCCCTGCGGTACATGCCTCCCCCCCCGCCGCCCCCCCTTTGGGCGTACGCCTTCTCGACCAACTGCGGACGCAGGCACGAGATTTTCGGGCAGTTTCTGTCACTGATCGCGGGCGCGGGCACTCAGCACACGGGGGTCAAGCCCGAGGATTTCACGGAGGACATGATGGTGTCGCTGCCGATGGACAACTACGAAGACCTGAAGGCAAGTCAGAGAGATCATGCGGCTGGTTGACTGCTAGGGCTCGGGTTGTCGGGGATTGCTTAATTTCCATCATGGGTGGCAGTCGGACAATCCAATAAATCAGAGGTGGCGTATTGATGCCGCCCTAGAGGTGCGTTCACGACCGAAGCTCAAGAAGAGGTCAGCAGTATTTGGTCCGTTCCTGGTGTTCCGCCTGTTTTATGCACATCAGGAAATATGTTGTGAATGGTTGAACAGCGAGGCTAGTGGTTGTGAAATTGCTATCTCGGTGGCCATTCAAAAGTGCTCAACCTCTCTTTGGTTTGATCCACCTCAATGCTGCTCCGTGCTCAAAGCTGTCTACCGCATCCATCGACTTGCGCAACCCGATTCCTACTGCTGAAGGCGCCACCTCACTTTTCCCGAAACATTTTCACCGTCAACACCCCCTCCTTCATTGGCTCTGCTTTCAAGTAGAATAGGGATTGTTTTTGTTTTTATCGACGAGAGATCAACCGTGCCCCCAAAGGCGAAGAGTTTTGTTCAAGGGATAAAGGAAAACCACATTTTCGAATTGTGTTGCGCGAGGCTGGCCGCTGTGCGCAGAACCCGCCGATGGTGGCAAGCGTACTTATTGCTGCGTAGAGGACGACGTTGTAAGCGAGTAAGCTGAGAGGCACGATTAAATGGTGCGCATTTAGCGTTTTGTTGCCCTGGCCTTCGCGTCTTCCGGTCGCCCTCGGTGGCTCCCTTGGCATCGTGTTTCACCCACCCCGTACCCCTGCGACGCATCTGCCGTCCTGCGTGTCTGTTCACGAAACGATCGCTGATTGGCTGGCAAAAAACTTGGACCGCAACAGCCGGTGGACACGTGGATGGCGTTTTTCAGGGGGCTGACCCGCCAGGAGAAGGTGCAAGGCTTCAAGCGCATGTGAGCAGGAGTTGCGGTGTGCACGCACGCACCACGTGTGTGTGTGTGCGTGTTATCCTGTACCAGTCGTCGTGCTGGGGGTGTTTTGCTGTGCTATACACTGCGTTCTCGAGCTCCCGCGCGCGCCAGCGCAAGCTTTTTCCGCTGTGCTGTACCCATCTCTGCGGTGGTGCTCAAGTACGATCAATTCTCTAGGTCTGGGTGCTGCCTGTGCCTGCTCTAGACAAAACCTATCACACGCTTTTTAGGTGTAATCGACTTTACTCGCGCCCGCGCCGGGCCGGCGTTGCCGTGCACTTTCCAATCTTAAATCTTCGTGCCTTTGCTTTTTCTCGTGCTGTCTTGGTCGTGTGTGCAGGTGGGAGTCCACGGAGGACAAGGAGAAGAACGTGATCGTCAACGACCTGCGGCATTTTTTCCTCGAGGTGGGTGCTTCTTTGCTTGCCTCGGGCGGCTTGTGCGCACGCCAAAAATTGCGCGTATGCTCCTCGTGTGGGTCGTTAAAGAACGCGCCCGCCTTGACATCTAAGAAATCGAGCGTAAGAAATCAAATCTAAGAGCCTGCATCCTCCTTTGTGAGCTCGGTCAAGAGCCCCTATACTATAACCTAAATAGTGGCCATTCGTAGCATGAACCGAGGAACCTCGGTCAAAACTAGAGGTTCTAAGTGTGGGGGCGTTCTGTACCATACCTCACTATGTGCGTTTTTTTGGCCTATTAGTCTAATAGCTTTGTGAGGCCGTATCTTCGTTTCTGTTCGCAAGCACCAAGTTTTCGCCAACCCTCGCACGAAGAACGTCGCGTAGATAGTCATATGCATAGGACAAGTGGCGGAGGCTACCTGTGACTCAGGCTACCCTCCCTCTCCCTTCCCCACGAAACGAACACTACACCAAATTCCGTGCATCTCCGCCCCTCATCCCAATGCTTTTCCACCCGTCGCCTGGCGTTCCGCGCCGCAATACCTCGCAGCCGTTGATAAACGGAGGTTCATCTCAAGCGGAGGAGGATGATGATGACGACGACTCGGCCGAAGAGGGAGAGGGGGGGGCGGCGGTGGCGGCGGCGGTCACCGAGTTGGAGCAAGGGGCGAAGGTGACTAGCGACGTGGGGTTGGCCGTGCCGGCTCCAGGGACGGGTGAGGCGGTAGGCAGCAGCGGGCGGCAAGACTAAATCTCCGCGGGCGACTGAATGGGATACGCCGGTGCGGTACAAAACAACTCAACGTCACTTTTTGGCCGTACTGTAGAGACCGGCGTTTGTTACCGGCACTTCGGAGAGACAAGGGCCCGTTGCTGTAGCTGGAGCGTTGCTAGTGAGACGAGATATACTGGCGGCATAGGAGTTCACTGCAAGTGTTTGCTGCTTTTATTCAGCCTAAGCTGTGGCTGGCGGTTGGGAAAGACCAAGTCCTTATCTATGTAGGTTTTGTCAGAGAGCTCTGTTTTCAGCTGGGTTTGGGAGCCGTTCATCAGCATGCGGAGTCCAGAAAGTGCTTCGATGGTTGTCTCCGAGTGATTCTTTGATTGGACAAGGTTCGGCCTGGAGCTGGACAACGTATGCATTCTGCTGTCTTCATGTTGTACTTCGAAGTAGTTCTTTGGTGTGAGCGTGGCTCCTGTGTGTGGAACAAACCCGTGTTGTACGAGTTCAGCTGGAGCAAGTCGCACTTTGGGTGAAGCTGGCGGGGTATGCGTTTCAGTCGCTGGCAGGACAAAGCCTGTGCTCCTAGGTTTGACATTTATACATTTCAGTGTTGTGTCGCGTTGTTTGCATTTATTTTGTGAAACTTGTAGGTCTGTTTCAGTTGAACATGCCCTCCTCCACTTCTTCAAGGGGGGGGGGGTCGTGTTTGCCTAATTTGTCACGTACGGTGGTTCGTGAGGCCTGGCGGCACGCAAGACCATATCCATGTTTTCTTTTTAATTTTCCGCCGNGAATTCGTTTGTAGCCCAGATTTTACTTTCCCTCTCTTCCCAGAGACCACCACTGGCTCTTCCTAGGGAAACTACTCTGTCCCGCTGTCTGTCACCAGCGGCCCCCACCGATCGCTCCGGAAGTCTCCTCTGTCCCTACAGTTGAGAGAAGGTTCAACCCCTTCCATCGGTCCGAGGTAGCCCACACTCTTATTGGCGTCAGCTCCAGGATTAGCCTGCTGTCCTCCTCAGACCCTTGACTTCCGCCGACGACCTCGCCAACCAGCTGTCATTGTCCAATTTAGCCAACAACGGCGAATTGCCTACGGATCAACCCGGCGAACTCTCCGTCCCACCCGTCGCCGAAGCCCGAGATACTCCGCCCACCAGCGGAGGCCACGTCGAGGCCAAGGGCTTCGACCCACCGTCACCACCCCCACCCAACGTCCAGGACCTCGTCATCACCACGTCTCCTCCTCCGTCCGTAGCGTCCACCGCTGCGCCCTCCGTCGGCGCTCCGTCCGCCTCCTCTTCGTCCACGGACCTCACCTCCACGCTCTCCAAGATCCAGTCGGTCGTGAACAGGCACCTCGACCTGGTCACCGATGGTCGCCTGGAGCAGCTGCCCGACCACGTAGTGCAGCTGATGGACAGGATGGTGAGTCTGCGTGCAGTCGCCGTTAGGGCGGAATCCAGTTCCCCGCCTGTGTCTGTCGGTGCTTCGTCGCACACCCCCTCTGTCCCGGACTTGACCCGTTCGTTCGCTGCCGCGTTGTCGCGGCAGAAGCATGTCGTGTTGACCCCTGTTGATGTCAAGCAAGTCCCCCGTCTAACTGGTAAAAGCGACGTAGATGTCAACTCTGTCATGTCCCAGTACCGCCTTATCGCGGGATTCAAAGTCAAGGGTTCGTACCCTACCAACACCCCTGTCACGGAAATCGACAACCGCGCTGATGCCGTTGCATTCGAATCCATCTCTCTCATCTGCGACGGTCCCGTCTTGCAGATCTACCAACAAATGATGTCTGGGAAAATCGATTGTTCCGCAACCTCTGGCTCGTACCACGCTGTAGAACAAGCGAACTCTTACCCACCGCCCACCACATGGGTAGAGCTCAAAACTGCTCTTCTAGACGTCCTCATGCCCTCCAACTGTGTTGAAGAGAGCGCACTCCGTCTAGTCAACCTCCGTCAAGAGGCCAACGAGAATGTCAGCTCGTATGCCCTTCGTCTGCAAACCAACTGTACTAGGTTTGAACATGCTGTCACTAGGGCTACCCCAGGCCGCTCGCCGTACCAAGCACTTGTGGTAGTCCTCTTTCAAAATGGCCTTGTCCCGACTATTCGGTCCAAAGTTCTTGATAAGAAACCTGTCAAAGCCCTTCGGGAGGCTATCGATCGCGCTCGCCGTACCGAGTCCGCGAACTTGTCTGGTGAAACCCCTGCTGTCAGCGCTGTCTCGCTCACTCCTACCTCGTCCCGTCCCGTGTCACAAAAGTTCGAACACCACCGCCAGAACCGAGGACGCACTCCGGCGTTCCAGTCGGGATCCTCGTCCGGGGGTGGCTCGTCCTCGTCCGGGGGCAAGGCGCCTCGCCACGGCAACCACCGCGGCGGTGGTGGCAACTCCCGTCGTCCCGTCCGCAAGGAGCGCCCCAGGTGCACCCACCCCACGTGCGACAAGCCCCTGGGGCACACGACCGCAACATGCTTCCAGAAGAAGCGTGAAGAAGCGGCAACCGAGCGCAACCGGCGGCGCAACCAGCCGACGGCCAAGCGTCCGTGCGCGGAAGACCGCACGCCTCGCAGCAAAGATGCGAGCACCGATGATGACGAGTAGGGGTGCCCAGCTAGCGTAGCGCCTGCGGTAGTAGGGTCGTCTCCTGCAGTTGGCAGGAAAGGCGCGAAGAGAAAACTCTCCGCGTCAGTAGCTGTCGGTACACCTGATTTTGTTGTGCCCCGTGTCCCTGTCCGTAACGGTAGTTACGTAGTGCCTAGAGTACGTCGTCGTCCTCATGGTACTGAGAGAAAGCTTTTCGGTCTCACTGCTTTGTCTGAATTTCGTGTCCCCTCCCCGGTGCTTGATGCCGAAGAGGTACAGCCTCTGCCATCGTCGCGTAAACGTCCTGCGTGTGATAGTAGAAGCGCTGTGTCTTCAACTCCCTTGAGTGTGCCCATCTGTAGCCGCGACGGCGATGTCGCCCCGCAGAAACGAGTCACTTTTGCTGAAGTTGAATCTGAGTCCGCCTCCATGCCCGATGATGCGTGTTGCCGTAGACAGTCGCGGCCTCGCCGCTCGTGTTTGCGTTCGAGTGTGAAGGAAGGGAACATGTTCCCTGTGGATGAAAAAAATAATTCAGACAATGTGTGGTACAACTCAAGGATGGCGCACAAACCCAATCTTTCTCGCCTGTCTTTGTCTTTGTCGTCGCGACGAGTACGTATTGACGGCTCCGTCGAAGACTGTCCCGTGAGTAACATCACGGTCGACACAGCTACTGATGTCTCTGTCGTGTCGCTTCCTTGGTTGCAATCCCATCCGACCTTGCGAAATGCGCCACTCAAACCTGTCCCTCCGGCCGCCGTATCCCTTCGAGCAGCGAACGGCTCGCCAATAGAGGTCAAGGGGTTCATTGATTTTCCATTAACCCTTTGCGGTATCACCCGTATGGTCACCGCTCTTGTCGTCCCCTCCCTAGGACCCGATTCAATACTGTTAGATAACAGCGTCATGTCGGATTTTGGTGCGATCCTAGATTGGGAACAACAAACCCTGTCCTTTTCGTCCTCTGGTATGCAAATCCCAGCTGTCCACCGCACCAACTCGTCCAGTGATACACGTAGAAAACGTCACCGCCACTCGAAACCGTCCGTGGCTGCTGTCCATAGCGACTCCATAGAGGTTGCTGTGTCTTTGCGTGAACGCGTCGATATTCCACCGATGCGTGAGGCTCTTGCCGTTGCCTACACTGATTGTCGTCCACCGGAAGATTGTACCGTCGTTGTCGAACCCCGGATCGTCTCCGAACAAGACTTAGTCCACGACGAAACACTTAGTCCCTTCCAAAACATTGTCGTTGCCCGTACTCTAGCTACATGGCACGCTTCCGATGGATCTGTCGTTGTCCAAATCGCCAATCCTTCTGCCGATGGCGTCCGTCTTTATGATGGCCTATGTCTTGGTCAATTGTCCACAGTGACTATCACTGAACCCGACCAACTCCATGTCAATTCTGTCGCGAACACACCCGTCACTGACGACGAAATTCGCCACGCCAAGTCCGAACTCGAAGAGCCTCTGTCCAAGGCCTTCGACAACACAACGCTCACCAACGAGCAACAACAAGCTGTCCTCGACTTGTGCGCAAAATACCGTCCTGTCTTTTCTCTGTCAATGTCCGAACTCGGCCGCTGCACCATTGCAGAAGCCACGTTCCCCGTGCCGCCAGGCACGCGTCCTGTCGATCGTCCGCCGTACCGTCCGAATCCCCGCGTAGCCACTGTCTCCGACAAATGTGTCGCCGAAATGCTCGAATGGGGTATCATTGAAAAACGGCCCAGCGCATGGGGAAGCCCATGCACACTTGTCGCTAAAAAGAACGGCAGTCCCCGTTTCTGCGTCGACTACCGCCACACCCTCAACCGCCACATCGTCCGTAAAACCTGGCCCATGCCTAACCTCGAGTCCTGCCTGGATGCCGTCGGCCAAGCTCTCTACATCACCGTCGCCGACATCCTCAGCGCCTTCTGGCAGATCCCCGTGGCAGAGGAGCACGTCGACCGTACTGCATTCGTCACCCCTACCGGCAAGTACTGTTTCAAGCGTATGCCGTTTGGAGTAGCGAACGCACCGTGGCTTTTCCAACATGTCATGTCTCTAGCTCTAGGTCATCTAGGTCCAGACTCTGGTGTTCTTTCGTACATGGACGATTTGATCTGTATCAATCACACGTTCGAAGCTCACCTGTCATCTCTCGAGAAAATGTTCGCAGCATTGCAAGCAGCAGGGCTCACGCTCAAACCGTCGAAAATTCAATTCGGTCAGAAAGAAGTCGACTATTTGGGTCATGTCATCTCCGCAAAAGGTATCTCTGTCAGCACCGACCGTATTGATGCCATTCGCAACCTGCCCACTCCCACCTGCATCAAAGATCTCCGATCTGTCCTAGGCATGGTAAATTTTGTCCGACGTTTCATCAAAGATTACGCCGATGTCACTGCTCCGCTGGTCGAACTCACTCGAAAAGATTATGTCAAACGTGCTAGTTTTAAAAAAGCATGGGGGTCGGCCCAAGATGCCGCCTTCGAAAATGTCAAGAGAGTCCTGTCCTCTACACCTGTCCTCCACTTTCCCGATTTTCTCGAGAATTTGTCGTTCACACCGACGCCTCTGAACAAGGCGTAGGCGCTTTCCTCGCTCAACCATCCCGTGATAGCGCCGACGATAAAGAACTCGATATCGTCGCGTTTTACAGCAAACGTTTTTCTAAGGGCCAACGCCATTACAGCGCTACCATGAAAGAATACATTGCGGTTGTCTGGGCCCTCACCCACTGGCGCCCGTACCTTTGGGGCCGCCATTTTACGTGTAGCACTGACCATCAAGCGCTTACGTATCTGTACCACATGCAAGACACGTCCAACATGTTGACGCGCTGGGCTATCGCACTCCAGAACTACGATTCCACACTCTTAGATGCGATCATAAATGTGTGGTCTGGTCTGGGATATATGGGAAAGTATCTCCTATTACTATGCATTGCATACAGGTCCTAGGTATATATCAACTCACGGATAACATCGACCGGTAATCATGGATGTGCGGCGTAGACAAACATAAGCGCTCGATGTGAACGAGGACTCCAGGGTGAATAACAACGGTGGGCTAAAATCGTGAGACAGAAAACTCGAACGAATACCGAATGCTGAAGTCAATCTACAGCACTACCACGGTAAGTATGCGGGTCTTACCGCGGATTGGCGAAAACCTCACGGATCGGAGTGCTCGCACGGGCTGTGCTTTAGACACTACGTATTTTCAGAACCAAGCATTAAATTAGTTCATTTTCCACCCACAGGAATGTATCGGGTTCATGGCACGCGTCGGTATCTTGGCACCCCTTTGCGATGGAATCTGAGAACGAAAGCTTGAAAAGGAGACGCACAGCACGTGTGCCAAGACCCGCACGTACTACGGGGAGTCTAGACTGCTGTAGACTAGTCTAGGCTAGGGATCAAAAACAAAAAACTTCTAGAACAAATTGACACTGAATATGCTATGCATAGTCTAGCACCGTAGCCTGCAGACGATTTTGCCAGATGATTGTTCCCTCAAGCCGCATGGTGATGTTTGCGATTTGCGGGAATAAAGCAAGACGCACAGATCAGACACGTGGTGTCTGCCCAACACGTGTGTGTGTTAGGTGGGTGCAGCACGCAGCACGGCTGTTGCCAAAACATGTGTTGGGGTCCGTGGATGACATGTTTTCGAGCGGGGGGCACCGTTGGATGGTGTGAAGCGTACAGCAGGTAGTGCTGAGACAGACAGCTATGCATGTGAGCACAGAACACACGAACGAACACACCCTGTGTGTACCTCGGGGCAACTCTTTTGGAAAGAGAAGAGCTGATGAGGTGGAAGTCCGCATTTTTTCCGGCCCATCCCAAGCTGATCCAAGACCTTCCTCGCAGTGCCACCCACAAGTGCAGGTATCGTACATACTGAACTGCCATCCACGCTGGCTGGATTTTGCTTGCTGAGCCCTCTTCGCGTTAGATCGAAGACAGACGCGTGCACCGCAGGAGAACAGGTGATGAGTTCCTCTTATTATACTGAATGGTGCATCAAACAGTAACCCAGGAGTTGTTGTAGACTGGCGACCAGAACAGCACATCGGACCAAATTCACAAGAAGAAATTGCGCATGCCTTTCCGCGGATGTACGTGACATCGGCGGGTTATCACAAACAGCCAAGGGTAGTTCTTAACGCTTCGGAAAAGTGGTGAAATTTTCCACGGAACGGTGACAAGAAAACCCGGCCTTTTTTCGCTTGTTCGTTCGTGCTGTCATCGCAAAAAAGTCCGTTCCCTTCCCTGAATACACGCTTTGCTCGGCACACAACAGGTTGAGTTGGTGTAGCTCACCATTGAGCAGCGGTAAAGCGCAATGAGCAGCACCCGACACAGAGGACAACACAACACTTACTACAAAGATCCTATCCACTCGGCCTGCTGTTTTCAGATTACAGCAACAACAGGCGCAGGGCAGAGTGTCGCAACCTGGGTGTTGCTTGCGATTTCTTCAGTTTGCCAGCTCATTTTCCACGGTTGCGACTCCCATATTTGACCACCACCTGCCCAAAGGTAGACGAGCTCAACAATCATAGGGCGGCAGCCGCGCTGACGGCCAGCATCATATAGACGGCCAATCCGAGAGAATTAGCGTGTAGGAGGCCCTGCTGCTCTTCTGCTGCGTGATGCCGTGGATTGATGTTGACGTGTCCGACCAAAAACAGAACATCTCGCCGCATTTTTTCGAACGGCATTTTGGTGAGGTGGCACACATCTCTCACACACCTTATTGAGCAGCACCCAAGGATCCAATACCCACGAAGCAGTACGGCGCCGGGAGATGGTATCATATAGACAGCCGAACCGAAGAAATCAGCGCGTTGGAGGTCTTGGTACTGCTGCTGTACCCATTCTACTATTTATTTTCGAGTTTGCTATGTGTGATTGAAAAAAATTCCCCGGCACCAACTGCAGCAGTTGAAGACGAGAACACCACGCAATCTCTAGTTTAGGACCAAAAACGGACTAAACACCGCTTCTGCCGGTTGTCCATCTCCACAACAGACAGACCTGGACGTGAGTCTGGCAGGTCTTTCTAGTGTTCTCAGTGATGTTACAGTGCCCGCGGTGCACTTTGTCCGATGCTTCTCTCAAAAAGACGGATCCGTGAAAGTAGCGATGCGTTCAGCAGGTTCTTTGCTGTAGTCACTTTATCAGTGGTAGTATACCACCCCCGCTAAGTACAACACACCCTGCAAATGCGGCAACAGTTCGGTATTTTGTGCAGGCAGGGGTATTGTACCACCACTTAATTCCGTGATAAAGTGATAACAACCCCACCTCCTTTTTCCACACCTCTTCTGTGGAAACGTTTGTCCAAGTATGGGATAAAGGGTAAAATGTGGAGAGTGCTGCAGGAGATGATAAGAGTGTACGAAAAGCGCTGTCATGCTAGACGATGAACTGTCTACATTCTTCAACATTCAACAGGAGGTCCCACAAGGTTGCACAACATTGTTCCAGATGTTCATCAACGACCTGTTGAAAGTCGTGGAGGCAGTTGGGAAGGGAGTCGGTAGGGGAAACTTCGGTGTCAGGAATGCTGTTTGCGGATGATTTCGTTGGAATGTCTGATACCCCTGAGGGACTTCAACTGCAGATTGACGCAGCGAAGGATTGCTGATACATATGTGGACATTGTCTACCAACGTTGAGAAGAGTGCCGTCATGGTATCCAGCGAGGACAGGGAGATCCCAGTGGAGTGTAGATGGGGTTGAGGAGCTTGCAATAGTGGGTCAGTACGCATATCTCGGAGTAGAGATCGCAAAAGACTGTTCGTGGCATGTTGTTGTTGTTGTTGTTGTTGTTGTTGTCTTCATTAAAAACCGTTCCGATCTCTCTCTACCCAGTACCTTCGTATGTCCGTACTGATCCAAAACTCGACGCGGTCGATTCCCGCGGTCACAGGTTAAATAGCCCTAAGAAGGTACACTCAAATACCCCCCGAGGGGTCCGCAAGTCAATAGAAATTCTCGACAGATATTCTGGAGTCCTCCACTCCCTCTGTGCGCTATGCGAGGTAACAACTGAGACTAGGAGTCACCATCACGGGCCGGAGAGAAAGAGGTACACCCCCTTGGTTCAATCATGGTACGTCACAACGCAAGCAGAGACAAGGCCATCTGGCACAGAAAAAGAGAGAAAAGAAAAACAGAGAAAAGGAGAAAACAGAGAAAAGAGAAAAAAACAAAAGGAAACATGAGGAAAGAGAAACAAAATGGAAGAGGGCGAGGACAAAACACATGTGCAAAGCACGAGCAGGGAAGCTTCACCCAATCCTTGCAAACAAGCAAACAAGCACCTCGATACACGCATAAAATTGAGGGTTTTGAAGAGCGTAATTGTACCGCCGCTAGAGTACGCCGGAGAAGTATTGGAAGGAAATAAGAAGGTGGTCAAGGAGCTGGAGGCGGCGCAGATGAAAGCAGCGAAAGTCATTCTAGGATGCTCCAAGCGCGCAACAAACATCACCCGTCAGGGCAGAAGTGGGGACCCAATTCCTACGATCGGGAAGACACGCAAGGAAGCTCAAATGCCAGTCAGTGCCGCATGTGCGGTATGAGAGAAGAGAGGTTGCCGAGAATAGCTCGGGAGGCGAAGTGGGCAATGAAGAAGAGGGGTAGACAACCCACGGAGCGGGTCAAGGTTGTAGATGACCTATGGGAATAATTCAATATCGACGAAGGAGATACGCTGGAAACGGAAGGTCTAGAGGGGTTTAAGGAGAAGATTTCTGTTGCTGTTACCGAGAAAGAATAGCAGAATCTAAGGAAAGAAACCAAAGAAAAGGAGGGTCAATGTAGATGGAATAGCGTTCAAGGAGTACCTGCAGGGACCGATGGATGCAGGGACAAAGCTGAAGGTACAATTTAGGACCGGTGACACTGGCCTTCGAGAACGACACGAAGACTTACGAAGGTAGACGATGAAGACAACAAGTTCAAATGTGAATGCGGCGCCGAGTGCGAAGACGGAATTCATGTAGTTGCGGAATGTACGTTGTGCAAGGAGAGGGAAGGGTACATGATTGAGCTGGGAAATTAGAAGGAAGATACAGGGAGACGTTTGAGGCATGGAATAGCCAGGAGAAGACGTTCGCTGTACTGGGGCTTCGAAGTGGGTTGAAAAGTCGGGAAGTGATATCGATAGTATAGACCATCACATGTATTGCTTCAAGGACTCCACCATATCGAGTCCAGTCTTGCGTAGGTGGTTGCTGTTCCAGTTCCAACTCTGTCTGTCTGTCCGTCCGTCCGCCTGTTTGTCCGTCTGTCTGTGTCTAAATCTCTCGAGAAACCGGCACACCAGCAGGTTCTGGAGATACGGACAATGGACAGCGCAGATACACCCGAGGTTTCCCCGAGAGAGGGGAAGCAGTTCGATATTGGCTGTGAGAGCTACACCCCGCAAATGTGGATGCAGGACCTGGAGCTCTTGCGGGCATCGGGCGCCAATATGACCGACTTCAACGCTCTCCAATCTGCTGCTACCTACAACAGGGTGGACTTCGTGCAGTTGATGCTGGCCAACGGCTACGAGAAGGATGCGTTGAGTGACATAGGATTTACGCCGCTTTACCACGCAGCCATAATGGGTCACATGGCTGTGACCCATGCCCTCCTAGCTGCTGGCGCGGACGTGAACCTCCGAAGCCATGACAACGTGTCGCCTCTAGACGTGGCTGCTGTAAAGGGGCATGTGGACGTGGCGACGGCGATCATCGCGCGCGGAGCGGATGTCAACGCTGCCAGTACTTCCGGCAACACCGCTCTACACCACGCTGCCGCTTGCGGCAAAGCGGAGGCGGTCTCGCTCTTGTGTCTCAAGGGGGCTGACGTAGACGGGTTGAATCGCCAGGGCCGTACAGCAATTCAATTGGCAGCTGAACGAGGTCATCTTGCCGCGACGCGGTCCCTCCTGGATGCTGGAGCCGACGCCACTCTTCGACCTGACGATAACGCAGGGATGTGCGCGCTTGACCTAGCTGCAAGCGGAGGCCACGTGGACGTGGCGGAGGCGATCATCGAGCACGGTGTGGACGTAAATGCTGCTGTTCCAAACGGTAACACCGCTCTCCACATCGCTGCCATCGAGGACGAAGCGGACATGGTGCTCCTGTTGTGCAGCAAAGGGGCTGGGAAAGACTCCATCAATAGCCAGGGGTCCACACCTCTTCAAATGGCAGCCGGCGAAGGCAACGTCGCTGCGACCCAGGCTCTCTTGGACGCCGGAGCGGACGCCAGCTCTCAAAGCGAGGGGGAAGCGTCGTCGGCGCTTGATTGTGCGGTTTGTCAGGGGTACACGGACGTCGTGAGGGTGAAAATCGAGCACGAAATAGACGTCAACATTTCTGATGTCGACGGGAAAACTGCGCTCCACCATGCTGTTGCCGCCGGCAAGGTGGAGATGGTGCATGCAGCTTTTGTTGGCCAGAGAGGCTGAGGTAGACAGAATGGAGAGCCAGGGGTGTACGCCGCTGCACCTGGTAGCCATGGCAGGTCGTGCTGCTGCGGCTCAAGCCCTCCTCGACGCCGGTGCGGACGTTGCCCTTCGACAAAACGGGGTCGGTTTGTCGTCGCTCCACTTCGCTGCTTCTCAAGGGCGCGTTGATACCTCAAGAGTGATGGCCCATCATGGCGGCGATGTGAACGCCAAAGTCAACAATGGCATCACCGCCCTACGCGTCGCCTCGGCGTTCGACAAGGCGCCGGCGATCGACGTGCTCACCGAGGCTGGTGCCAACATCGAGGCACAGGCGAATGGAAGCACTCCCCTTCACGTCGCGTCCCAAGAGGGCAGACTCGCAGCCGGCATCGCCCTCTTGAGGCACGGCGCAAGCGTTGGCAAGAAGAACGCGGCAGCACAGACACCACTGCACCTGGTAGCCGCCAAGGCAGGGAGTCCCGGAACCGCGGAGATGGTGGACCTGCTGCTTAGACGGGGCGCGGATGAGACGGCCGTGAGCGAGAACGGCCACACAGCGGCAGATATGGTGGTTTTGAAAACCGAAGAGTCGGACAGCCTAGCGGAGGATGTCGACCGCGTCCGAAAACTCTTGGCACGTGCTCCGGCCGACAGGGCATGGCGTCGGCGTGGCTTTCTGATCTTGTCTCGCGCTCACTACCCCGGCGGCAGGGTTCAGTTTGGACACAGGACCAGTCAAGCACCTGCCGCAGGGGTAGCCAAGAGAACTCGTAGCAGTGAGGAACCTTCGAGGGCGGAGATAGACTGGGCTGGTGTTGTGAGCATGTTGATGGGAGATGGAGTTGATCCCATTTCGCTGATGGGCGATGGAGCAAACCTCATCTTCGAGAAAATCGTGGGATATCTCTGATGCTGGTGAGTCGGTCAGAGCAATCAATCATCGTAGGAGCAGAGAACCGAGGCACGGGCTAATCGCCGCATGAACACCCGCGTTGTCCCCATAATGTTTGTTCGTAGAGGTAGAACCCTTTACCTCATTTTTATTTTAATTTTCATCTCTCTCTTGTCTACCGGTGCGTTTGCCCCAGTGTACCGACGGTGCAGGAACTCTTTGTCCTTCTATGCTCGGACCTCCCTCGGTGTGAGTGATGATGAAAGTCGACACGTGAAGCCGGGAAGGCAGCAGTGTGTCGTTTTCCGAAACGGTGCTGGGGCTGGCTTGTCGTGGCAAGCATCCTGTTGCTCTTCCGTTATGAAGCGTCATCTGCTGCAGCGTCGCGTTTTCGTAGATATTGTATGAACGGGAACATTTCTTACCGACAGAGAGTTCCCGGCGCGAGCGGCGCATAAGTTCTTGTCGGACCACGAGAGGTGCTGCTCATTTTAAGCACATCGGGTAGATGAAGAAAATTCTCGTATTAGTTTAGTTTTCTACATGTATCTCGATACCTCTCTCTGCACGTTTGTCGGCGGTCATACGCTTGGGTTGGCAATGGTAGCGGTATCCACACGCGTTGTGCACTAAATAGCAAGATTGAAAGTGCTGGACGGCTGTTGTAGCATGTGCGATGGCGGCGGCAGCAAATTGTCGGCGTGCTTGACACACTAGCTGTGGTTTCCCTTGCAGTTTTGTTGAGGTTGGCAGCAAGTTGTTGGTTCCTCGCGTGTATCTACCTTTCGTGTGTTTACACAAAGAAAATGCCCGTCACTCGAGCGCGATGCGGGAAGGGGGGAGGGGGGTTGTTGTAGGGTAGGTTCCGATCAGGTAATGTAACGCATGCAGGTATGTCGAGAGCTGCCGAAGGACAGTTATGCACGTTTTGTGAGTAGCTGGTGGTAGACTTGGTTTATTTGTCTGTTGTTTGTGAATGTCGAGGCAAGTTTCGATGTTTATCTGAGGTTAAGAGAAGTTGGTGTGGAGACGGCTGTAACGTTGTTGTACGGGTTTGGGGTGACAATAAACTGGAGCGGATAAAGAGATCTGACTGTTAAACAAGAACGAGCATTATTGTGGAGGCCTTGGTTCCAATACGCACACACTCGACACCTCCTCCCCTCCCCGGCCTGCTCCCCGGCCGGGGCCGAAATCGACCTTGTGAGTCCCTCGCGGGCGAACCAGGCCACAACAGATAGTAGGTGGGTGGTGTCCCAAGGTGCAACTCACCGCCGCGCTGGCTCAGCGTGGCGGTGAGGATGCACAGACGGTGGTAGTGGCGAGAGGTGTATGTGGACCTTGTCCCCGCGGCAGCAATGCAAAGCGGCAAACTGCACCTGGTAACCACCGTCGCGGAAAACGTGGCCCACGAAGCTGGAGGAGCAGAGAGATTCGTAAAAACCACGCGAGTAAGCACCGTTCGCGGGAGAAGGGAGATAACCGCGGGCGACGCGGGGGGGGAGTGCTGCACCCTCCTCGTCCAAACACCACAGGCAAGCACCGAGCCCTGCAAAGATGGATCGATGCGAAGAAACTCGCCGCTCGGATTAAACGGAAGAAAACACCCCCCC